AAATATGGTTCTGGAAATTTCCAGAAGTGTTTCCCCAGTACGCCAGAAGTTTGCTTTTGGGTGTGTTCTGAACTTATGGTAATCTGAAGCTTAGAATAAGCAACACTGCATGTTTTCCAGAAGAGCAGGAGGCTTCTGGTGTTCTGGCGAAACACTTCTGGAAATTTTCAGAACCATATTTGAATACCCTAATTGTCTGAGTCTTTGCTCGCAGCGATTTCGAAAGCCCTCTCCCATCTCGTCATCATCAGCCCATTCTTGTGAGAGCTGATTAGCTCTGAGGATGTATGGAGCTGATAGACCAAGGGGTGCAGTCCCATCAGGAAGTTCCGGTAAACTCTCCAAATCTTCATGAGTCGGAGATTGGGGGAAGGATTTTTTTTCCCGGTTAACTCCCGCAAGGTATTGAAAATGCTGCTGAATAGCTTTAGACTTTTCAAGCCAGACACAATGTTAGCTCATTCAAGTACAGCCTGATTTCAATCCACCGGTGTTCAAATCAATGAGCTTACTGAATTTTGATCATCATCCTTGTTCTCTGGGGTCATTGTGTCCCTTTGTTTCCTTAAAGTTTCTGTGAGCTTATTTTGTGAGCTTTTAGAAGGTCGCACCCATAACTTTGGTTTGGAACTTGGGTTGATGTGACTCGTTTGTCGGACCGGGGTGACAGCAATATCAGCAGGTGGAGATCTATTAATGGGTGTCAATGAAGGATGGGAGTTTGAAATCTATACAGGATACGTTAGTTGCAGGTTCAACTCTATCTCAGTACAAAATTCTTGTCCTCTGTATAATTTATACTCCTGATATCACCCCAAGGTGGCAAGGAACGTACCCTTGGTTCAGAGAATGCATTTGTATGTTGCCGATTTGGTGTTGCACGTCTCCTGTCCATGTTTGCTGTCTGATGTACCCAAGCTGAACTACTAGCAATCGTGGAAGATTGAGCCTGATTATCAAGCAGTATCTGAGTCAGTAAACACATGGTCAAGAGTGTCACTGAGTTTTCAACCAACCCCTTCGTGGTCCTGTGCTTGGAAAAGCGGCCGTTGCGTCCGTGAACTGGAGTCAGATTGATCATCGACTTCCATAGAATCCACAGCCGATTTGTTTGGAATCAATTCTGTGGGGCTTCTTTTAAGAGGAGGCTGATCAATCAAACATCTCAGAGAATCATCAATATGTACAACCAGGGCCAATAAAAGATTATGCCACTTACTGTGATGAACCTGGATGATGAAGAGCTCACATTAATTGTGGTTATTAAAAATGGCTCAGACTCATTTAAAACTTCATTAGAGTTCGCATCAGACCAAACGAGATTTGATCCAGTTGATTCTGGGCTAGACAAAGTCTAATTTAGCGCACATGTGAGAAAAGCACCAACTATCCAAATAAAAATGACGGTAAGCTGTTGAGAGATATGACCTACTGAGATTGGCATAGCTGATGGGGATGCAGGAGTTTCCAACCTTCTCGGCAAGTTCTGAATGGAAACACAGATCATGAATTCAGCTGATACAGAAATATCTGATACATAATTCTTCACCTACACATTTGTTTTCTCTATTCTCAAAACTTATCATTCTTCCATCAAATTTTTCTTGCTGGCACATCATCTGCTGATATGAATGGTCCAATCTGTTTAGGCCAAGTTGAATCTCTCTTCAAATTCTTGCTGTGTTTTTGTGATTGCCTGTGAAATTAGAATGAAAAATTTGAGCTTTACTGTGCAAAGAATCCAGCATTGTTGAGCCGACCTCCAGTGTCTGTGATATCTGGACCGGCTAGTATCGCGGTATTGCCTACTTTTT